GTCCAGTGCCTGGAGCCCTGGCTGGGTCAGTGGCTGGCGGCCAGGCAGGGAGCTGGGCCCTGCAGGCTCCTGACCCCCAGCTGCTACGTAACAAGGCCACAGTGCCTGTTGCTCATGGTTCCACTTTATTCCCAAGCTTTTGGTGTTACTTGATCATCAGATTTATGCCATAAAGATCCCAAATTTATTAGGAAAACAAAACCCCAACAAACTTAATTTCATGGAACTACAGGCTGGATCACTGTCCCATGAAACCCTAGAGGCCAGAGTCTCAAGGCTTTAGCCAGGCCTGCCTCTCCTGTTTGCTTCTGCTGTCGCCACTGGGCAGCCCTGGGGCAAGGCTGGAGCAGGACCAGCCAGGCAGTGAGGGCTCGGTGGTTCCTGAGCTCACCTGCGTTCGTCAGGATTGGGTGTTCACCCTGCGGGTGCCCTGTCCCCAGTGGGGGTCAGCTCCAAACAACGGGCACGCAGAGGGAGGTGGTCTTCCTGCTGCCCACTTGGATGGTGCTGGTACGGCTGCTGGGACCCGGGCTTGGGTTTCAGGATTAGGGACACCCGAGCACCATAAGCCACGTTTGGCTGGGATTAGGCGGGCTCAGCTCTAAGATGCTCTGCTGGCCCTGGGAAGGCACAGGTGTTTGGCTGGGGCCCAGGACGTGCAGGGTTCCCAGAGCCCTCGGGGCAGGCCCAGAAACCCGAGAGATCTCCAGGAGCTGGGCCGCAGGGAGGGCCGGCCAATGGGGAGGAGTGGGCCTGGGGAGAGCAAACGGGGAGAGCGGGGGTCTGCCTCAGGGCAGACATCAGACCCAGGTCTGAAGGCCACAGCCCACCTGTCCTGAGGCCGAGCTCCTGCAGACCAAGAAGCAGCATCTATAAAACAGTCTTCTCCCTCCCAGTATTGCCCAAAAGATCCGGTGTGTCAGCAGGAGTGGGTCTCCTGCCGGACCCTGGCTACTCGGGGCGGACAACCCAGCTACTGTCCCCAGGCACCATGGCACCAGCCCAAGGGGGTGCCATCTGTGGCCATCGGGATCAGGCATCACTTCCACCAAAGATGCTTCCCGACAGGACTGGGCCAGCAGAGGGATGTGCTGTGGGACCTTGGCACTACAGCAGAGACAGGGCAGGGGACACTCGTGGGGCTGTTTGTGACGTGGCCACCTCGGGCCCAGGCACCCTGCTGGGCTTGTTCGCCCTGGGGGGTGGTGTGGGGGCATCTCCCAACCTGTTTCTGGCAGTGACTGGCCCACAGCGTCCCCCCACATGCACCCGGACTAGGACCCAAGGGTGGACCGAGCAGGACCGGTGGGCGCTGACCAGAAAGGAGGTGGGCAGTGGAGGTCAGGGCAGGCTTGGTCAAGCTGGGCAGGAAGAGGCCATGGCTCAGGTGAGGGCAACCAGGGGCCCTGGGCTCCCAGAGGGGCTCAGGGATGAGTGAGGGCAGCCTGGGGCTCTTGGTGGCCTGGCCCAGACCCGGCCAGCACGGAGGGGCCTCTCATGGTGGACTCGTAAGAACCAGATACTTCCGTGAGTGATGTTGAGTGCGGGGCACTGAGGCCTCACTGTGGGGGGTGCCCTGACTGGGGTGGGCCGGGCGCCCAGAGCCTGAACAGGGTCCACAGGGCTCAGTCATTCAGCCTGGTGGCCCTGGGCCTCTGGACAAGCGCACTGCCCAGCCTACTCATGGCGTCCCTCTTGCAGGGCCCTGGGCCACCTGCACCGCGGCAGCTCCTGGAAGCTCAGCATCAGGCAGTGAGCGGTGGGTGAGGGTCTTGGGCCCAGCACTGGGGCCTGCTTCAGGCCAGGACACCAGCCACGTCTCTGAGCTGTTGCCTGGCTTGTGGCCACAGGACAGATGCCCCGACCTATGGGCACCACCTGACAATGGCTGTTTCTCACAGGGCAACTCTGCCTGGAGGACCCCTGGCTGGACCTGGCGGTCACCTACTCAGCCAGGCCTGCCGCCGCGTGAAACTATGGCTGAGGCATGTGTAGGGTGGGTGTTCCCTGCTACCCACCCAGCAACACTGGGGGTCACCACATGGCTGTGGGATGCTGGGGGGCACCCACGGCCTGCGGAGGGTGTGTAGCCCTCAGCCCAGCCCTTGAGGACTGGTCACCCTCCCCTGTGTATCTGCCTCCCTGGGGGCCCAGGACCTCGGGGACAGCACCTCAGGGGGCAGGGGGAGGACTGGGGTGGCGGCAGAGGGCTTCCCAACGGAGGGAGAGGCAGGGGAGGGGTGGGCTGGCCCCAGCGGCAGCTCCCCCACGTCACTGCACAACTCGCAGCCACAGATGAGTGCAGGACATCGCGGGGTCATTGTAGGTTACACAGAACAATCCGAGGAATTAAAGTCATATTTTCATTGCACCACAAAAACATGCCAAGGTGCAGGAGGCGGCCCTGCGCCCGGGGGGAGAGCACCTGGCCCCTCCCTACGCTCCCTGGGAGGAGGGATTGGAGCCGGGCTTTGCCCAGGGAGGGGTCTCAGGCCACGCAGTGAGCGACCCTGGAGCCAGGCAGGCCCGAGGGACACACAAGCAGGACAGAATGCCCTGTGCCCAGCTCCGGCCTGAGACCCAAGAGTACAGCGGGTGCCTCCCCAAGTGCAGGGCGGGGTACTGGGGGTCAGCGAGGGAAGCCTGGGTCTGCACACACCACCCAACTGGAGCCCCCAGGGCAGGGGGATGGGGGACATGGCCGGGCCCTTTGTGGCTCCTGATGTTTGAGAACGGGGCCAGGCCCCTACCTGAGACGGGGAGGGGGTAAGCCCCGCGTGGGGGAGGGGCCTCCACACTGGCGGTGCCCCAGGGCTGTCCCGAGCACCGTGGGGGCTTTGTTCTTCCTTCGGTGGCCACACAGGCTGCGTGAACTGGCCAGAGAGAGGATGTCGCAGGCTCAGCTGGATCGAGGCTGCCCTGGGAAAGGGGCTGCAGGGGCATGGACGTGGGGCGGCCGCCTGGCAGGTACGTGGGGCTCCCAGCCCGACTGCATCACCTGGCATCACAGTAAGCCGCGAGGCCACATCAGGTCCCTCTTTGGTCCCATGCGGCCATCCCAGTGCCCAGGGCCCCCCTTCCATCCGGGTCAGCTGACCCCACAAAGCCCGCCCCCTGCCTCCAAGGCTGGGAGGCCATGCCCAGCGCAGAGGGAACCTCCTCACGGGGCCACCAGCCGGGCGTTAAACGGGACACGGCTGATCGCGCTGCATTTGTCAAGAGGCCTGGCCCCTCCCGGCACTTGGCGTCTCAATGGGGTGTCTGAGGGCCACTGCACACGCTTCACGCGAGCGGCGTCTGAGTTCCCGCAGGCCCATTAAGGCGCAAAGACATTCCTTTGTTCGCTGACAAGCAGGGTCCCACCCAGGGCTCCCGGGCGGCAGACTAAGTGATGTTTTCTTAAGGAAGACACGAGATTAACCGCCGCTAAAGCCCCAGTACAATACCGGGCCCTGCCCGTCGCTGTCAGCGCCATCTCTCCGCGGTGACTGACAGGTGCCGGGGGCCTCCCTCCCCGTCAGCCTCCATGTGCGGGATTAGTCTGAGCCCAGCCGACAAGCTGGATGGGGCCCCAGGAAAGCGGAACATTCGGGGGACAGGGCCTCAGCACCATCCCACTCCTGTCACCGGCCATGACACTGGCAGGCGGCTCTGGAACACAGCCTGCATTCCCAGGAGGCTCTGCTCCAGGAGGAAAGGCGGGGTCCTCCGGGGCGGGGTGATGGGGACCCCCCGCACGCTGACCCCAGCACAGCATGACTCGGAAGGGATTCCCCGTGGTGATGGATGGGCGGCCACCCCGGGCGCGTCGGGGACATCATGGGCAGGGCACGCTTCCGGAAAACACCCTCTTTATTTGTGCCCTGGAAACACCAGTGAACTCAGACGTGGGCAGCCCACGGGGGGTTTCTGAGCAAGTCGTCATCATCTGGCATGGGCAGGGGTGCAAGATGCAGGCCTGGGCCATCCCTGCAGGGTGCTCGGCGGTTGGTCCAGATGCACTGGGCAGGGGCGAGGCTCACCCGGGCTCGGCCTCCAGCATCCTGCCTGCCGAGGATGGGGGTCAGCATGGGGTGGCCCCGCGTCCCCACACCCGCCCGCACACAGGGACTCTTGGGGGACAGAGGAGAAACCAGCCAAGGGGTAGCCCTGCCCCACCAGGTCGTGCATAACTGTTAGAAACACCCTGAAATGATAAAGCTCATCAGAGGCAGCCCTGTCCAGGAGCTGTGGAGGAGCCGATGCCCTGGGTGCCCCAGGAGAGGCTCTGGGCCTGGCCCACTGCCCACTGATCCTCTGCCGTGGCTTGGCCCCTCACGCCCACCTGTGGGCATCCCGTGGGTGCTCACTGCTCTGTCCACAGTCCCCCGGGGCCCTTGGGACCCCAACCCAGGAGGGGCCGACGGCCAGGGGATGCCCCTCTCAGGCTGACAGGTTGAAAGGCCCCAACCACAGGCATCCCCTTGGCTGGGGTCAGGCAGGGACTTGTTTATTTCCTCCTAGATGAGTCTCAGGACAAACATCACACCCCGGGGCTTCTGGCAGCCCACTCAGCCTGGCTTTGCAAAGTCTAACAGAACCAGACTGCGGGCGGCTCTGAGCACGAGGCTGCGTCTCCACCTTCTGGGCAAGAGAGAAAAGAGCTGGGCTGTTCTGAGCGGGGCAGGTGGTAGGGAGGCCCACTGAGCATTCCACACCCTGAGCCCCCAACCCCCCCGCCCCCAGGACAGGCGCTATGGGGTGACCCCGGCCTCCAGACACCACCTGTACATGAGGAGCAGCAGCAACCCGGCTGGGGTCTGAAGTGCCGTGTGGGGGGTGGGGCCCTCTCGGCAGGTGCAGCTTCTCCTGCACCTGGAGAGCAGTTCACAGTGGCACCCTACTCCCCTTAAACACAGGACCTACCCTGCATGCGTACCTGGCTCTGAGCCTCCGCTGAGCCTGGCCGTGGGGGCAGAAGTCATGCTGAGCACCCTGGGTCTAGGGATGGCCACTTAGCCTCAGCAGCCGGTCACGGTGGGGTCCAGGCCCGAGCGCTTGGAGATGCGCAGCTTGGCCACCTCCTCAGCACAGGTTGGGTGGATGCCCACCGTCCGCATCACCTGCTGGTAGGAGGCCCCACACCTGCACGCCGGGGACAGGGCATTCGGGGGACAAGTCAGTGCAGGGAGGCGTGTTCGAGTCCCCCCCCCCCCCCCGACCATGATTCCCATGAGCTGGAGAGAGAGAAATGGACAGAGAGGGTGCCGTGGATGGGGTGGAGGTGTTGCTGAGAGGCACACATTTGTTTCTTGCTCTTCTTGGTTTGGGCTCCCTTCCTCAGCCTCCAGAGTCAGCCCCGCAGTGGGGTCCAGCGTTCCTCTGTCTCAACATCTGCTTCCTCCTTCAGTGCACCTTTGCAGAGCTTTCACCTGCATGCTCATGTGTGGTAGGCAGGTAGACAGGCGGCAGAGACGAAGAAACCGTGTGTTGGGGCATTTGAGTGGTTTGTCCCCAGGCTGCCTGTGGCTGGGGGCTGACCCCCGGGGCCCCCCCCCCCCCCTCAGGTGGCAGCACATGGGGGAGAGTGGGGAGGTCACGGTCTCCTCACCGTCCCCCAGCCCTGGCCCCCATCCTCTCTTCTCCAGCTGGCAGCCAGGAACACCTGCCAACACCTATGTTGGTCCCACCCCACCTCCCTTGGAGCAAACACCCCGAGCCTGCAGCAGCCAGGCAGCCCCACCTTGGGGCCCACCTCCCACCTGCCTGGCCTGGCCTCCTGCTGCCCCCAGCCCACCAGGCACAGGCCCACTCACCCTCCTCTCTGAGTTCAGCCCCCTCCCTCTGCTTCACCCCAGCCCTCCTGCCTCTGACAGCCCCTCACCAGCTGCCTGGCCTCTTCACACCCAGAAACCCACCCCCACCAGAGCTTCCACAGCATGGGCCCCGGGGCCCCGCCATGCACAGCCTGCAGCTGGGACCGGCCCCACAGGACATGTACCCCCCGGGAGGCCCTCCCAGCACACTTGATGCCGAGGCCCTGCTCCTGACAGACTGGGCACTCAGCCCCCAACCCTCATTCTGAGCAGAGAAGACCCACTGTGCCCCTCAGGCCTGGCTGGGGACATGAGCCTGTTCCCCCCGGTTGGCCCGGCCAGAGATGGACATGGCCACCTCTCAGGTGACCGACCGGACCCGTCCCATTGGGCAAACCCTCTCTGAAAACATGACCACGAGTGATCCTGATGTGGCAGACTTCCGACAGCGGTGCCGCTGACTTTCGGGGGACCCCAGCCTGAGTGTCACGTAACGGCCGACATTCCTGTGGACTTACTTGATCCCCAGAGCAAATCCTTGAGTAACTTCACCAGCATTGGGGCCAAGGAAGTGCAGGCCCAACACCAGCTGTGGGGGCTCCCGCAGACACACCATCTGAAAGGCACACAGTCAGCAGGGGCGTGCGCGGCCGTGGGGGCTCTCTCTCATCCCGGCCAGGCCCACGGGGATGCTCACCTTTATGTAACACTGGGACGCATCCCGTTCAGGCACCACGAACTCCAGTGGTTTATAATATGCGTGATAAACCTGGGTGACAAGACACAGATTCCTGGGTCAGCGGCTGCAGCAAAATAAGCCCCAGGGGCATCTTACAGCTCAACAGGCTGTGGGCACAGTGGGGGTGGGGGGCGGAACTGCCCGCTCAGCCTGTAGGTTGTGGTTTGGGGCAAGGACAAGGCTCGGCTGGCCTTGGAGGCACCCCTCTCCTCCCGGCACGGCAGCCTGTGGACAGACCCTCTCCCACAAGGCCCAAGAGCCCCAAGAACTACAGCAGTGGAACGGGTGCCAGACTGGCCACCCTCTGACTTGCCCCAGAGCCCGAGGCTCAGTGCAGGCACGGGCACCGCCCAGGAGCACAGCCCAGGTGGACGCTGCAGAGAATGGACGGGGCGACTGCGGGCAGTGGAAGGGGGGCCCGGCCACCCGTCTGGCCTCCCTCGGGCACCTCGGTGCTTGCCGCCCTCACTCGAGCCAGGAGGTGGGGCGGGCACGGCCCCCACCGGAGCTGCTGGACAAAGGCTTTCAGCGCCTGAGATGGGCCAATAGCGCATTCGGGGCTGCAGCCGAGTAAAAAATGAGCAGAGCCCTCACATGTGCTGCACAGCCATTATTAATTAATGCAGCTTCAGAGAATATTGTTCTAACGAAGACAGAATTGAAAAGAAAACAAACAAAGGGCATTTGGCCATTCAACATTGTGAAACATAAAACAACATCACGGAATGCCATGGACACATGTCCCAGGGCACTTGTGATGAATCGAACAAAAATAGCAAATAAAGTGCCGTTGATGGAGGGAATCGGGGCGCAGGGATGCAGGGCAGGCACTGGAGCCCGGGGCGCTCATTCCCAAAGGGCCCCCGGCCGCTCTGGTGGCCACGTGGGTCCGGTTTCTCCCAGCCCGCCTGCAAGCTGCCACAGCACCCACAGCCCACCAGGCTACCTGGGGCACACGCTGTGGCCAAAGCAGACCTCAGAGAAACCCCTGTCTGATGACAAACCCCTCCCTCCGGCGTGGGTGCCTGGGTCTGGGCTGTCAGAGGCCCACGAGGACCAGACTCGTGGAGGAGGCACAGGGCCAGGCGGGGGCAGAAGGGCAGGGGTGGAGGCAAGCAGAGGTCGGAGGGCAGGAGGAGCCTTTCAGGTCAAGGCAGACATGCACCCCCGAGGTGGGCCGCAGCCCAAAGGCCCCGTCATTCCCAGGGCTGCCCGCCAGCACCGCCAGCCCATCACAGCCATCGTTCCAGGACCCACGCCCCGCCCTGCTAAGCTGCAGGCCCCAGGAAGCAGGATGCCAACACTCCCGCTTGCCGCGGGCCTCTGTGGGGGGCGGCCATGATGGGGTGGAGGGCCACACAGGCCTGTGTCCTGGCAGCCCCCTCCCTGGGGCCCTGACTCACCTCCACACGCTCCTCTCCATGGCGAGCCACGGCCTCCTCCTCTGACAGCCCCACACAGCCATACTCTAGCGGTGTGAAGACCGTCGTGGGGACCTGGAGGGTGGGCCGGGATTAGGCACCAGAGTGAAGACCCCACTGGGATACACCGAGAGCGGTAGTTGCAGGCTAGTCCCTGGACGGGCAACCCCCTCTCTTGTTCCCGGGCTGCACCTCACACACAGGCGCACATGCACACGCACATGCTCGCATGCACAGACACACGTGCACCCCCAGAACGAGCTGCAGCTCCCGCAGGCTGGAAGTGGCGTCTGAAGAGGAGGGGCACTCACGTTGTCATAGTCCATCAGGTCTGAGGACCGACTGCAGAGCCGCTGGGCTAAGAGCCTCCCGGCCATGATAGCCGTGGGCGTCAGCTCTGGCCGTCCCTGGGAGGTGAGAGCACAGGGTTACTTCAGCTTGACCCTCAGTGGGGGTACCGCCTTCCCAGTGGGGCGTCTCCCCCAGACGCATTTTGCCTCTACTTGTTCCCACATGCTCCCCTCTGTCCTGCTCGGGGCGGGGGGCGGGGGGGGGCGGAGACACCTGCGGTCACGGCCCCTTCCCTGGAAAAGGGGGTGAGCCGCTAACAAGCCTGGCCACACCGGCCACACCGCCCGTACCCACTTGTGACTTCTCTCAGGACCCCTTCTTCACGTCAGTGCCTTTGCAGAGCTGCTCCCACAACAAAGCTCAAAAGGGACTCAGCCACCATTTACCCATTCGCAATAACGGATTCGGGCTAAGACGGGCCCTGGGAGCAGCAGTGGGCTCCGACACGCAGCTTGTCTGGCACGTCAAGCCCATTACCGAGCCCAGATCGGACGCCGTTTCATGGAAGCCTCTGCCCCAGGGTGTGTCCTGCCGGGGAGCAGGGGGTGGCACAGCCCCCGTGTCCCCACACGCATCGGCCTGGGGCTGGCTGCCAATCACCCCTGCAGCAGCAGGAAATGCAGATGTTGTTTGACATTCCAGAAATGAATGGAGATCGGCAGCGATAAAGCCGTGTAGGCAGCCCGTGCATTCCACCGGCCTGACTAACGGGGACACAGCCCACACGGCACACGAGGTCTCCCTGAACCACGGCCTCCCCTCGCCAGACCCCTGGGGGTTAACGCTTCTTGCTTCTCAGAGTGACCTTTCTGAGGGAGCAGGCTGAGTGTTTTAAGACACAGCACTGCCCAGCTAAGCGGCCAGGTCCCCAGGGCAGTGAGCAAGCGTGAAGCCTCGTCCACACCAATGGGTCAACTAGGTGGCCAGATGACCCAGCGGGGGAAGCGGCTGGAGCTCTGACGCACCCAGCAGGTTGTCCCCATGGTTGCGACACAGGGGGCTGTTTCCCACACAGCATCTCATGAGCCTGGGTTCATGGGGGGCTCGAGGCTCAAGCGGCAGCCAACTGGCTCCCATCTGAGCACTGGCCACGGCGGGGGCGGCCCCTCCGGTACAATGGGGACACCAGGGCCAGGCTGTAGTGCAGGACAGACTGTCTCCAGATGAGCAGGCTGGCCCTTCGGGAACAAAGGGAGGCCCAGCAGTGCATGGCCTCCCCACCCACCCACCATCTCCACGTGTGTGCCAGGCTCTCTGGAAGCCCCCCACCTATCACAAGCTGCAGCAGAGGCTGGGGAGGCTGAGGGAGGGGCGGTCCCACAGCATCGATGACGACTGCCACCTTTCTGACCCCCACACTGAGCATCTCCTGACACCTGAAATAGCTCATTTGCTTGTCATCTGTGACTGTGACAGAACATCACCTCCACAAGGGCTGGGACTTCTGTCTGTTCCTGCAGTGACCCCAGAACCCAGAAAAGTGCCTGGTGCTCAATGTGTGAAGAATAAACATAAACTAACACCATGGTGGGTTTCACAGCATCCCCAAACTCATGTCTCCCCAGAACCTCAGACTGTGCCCTCCTGGGAAGTTGGGGTCTTTGCAGGGATAATTAAAGTGAGGATTGACATGAGGTCAGCCTGGATTCAGGTGGCCCTAAATCCAGGGACAGGCAGGCCCCGGAGGAGATGCTTGTGAAGATACCAGGGCCTCAGAAGCTGGACCTGGCGAGGAGGGTCCTCCCCAGAGGAGGGAGCGCAGCCCTGATGCCTTGACCTCGGGTTTTGGGCCTCCAGAACAGGAGGGAACAAATTCTGCTGTTCTGACCACCCAGTTCGTGGCGCTTTGTGGCGGCACCATGGAGAGGCCTGCTAGGTCTGGGGGCCCAGCCTATGATTGGGACCCTGCCCTGGCTGCTCTCCTCAGGACGCGATGCACATGTGCAGGATAGGCCGACTGATCCTGAGGCGCTGGGGCTCATAGCTGAGCAGCCCCCGGTGTTGCTGGGCCCGTAAGGGGGGCCACTGAGCGATGCCTCCCAAGCCAGGCTCATGGGGGTGCGGACCACCCAAGATCAGAGGTAAACCGAGGCCAGGAGGTCGAGGCCGCTCCATGGTGTGCAAACAGACACCATCCCTCAGAGCTGACCCGTGAGGAGCTTCACGGCAGGATCTGTGGACGGTGCCCCCTTGTCCGCCCACCCGTCCACAGAGAGGACGAGCATGGAGGCGGGGGTGATGCCAAGTCCTCCTGGGGCTCAGTGCAGAGCCCGTGTGAGCCACAAGGCGGGGGTACAGGGTCGGGGGACGGGGTGGGGGGAGGCAGCGGCGCAGGCCGTACCTCCGCCACATCTCCGATGGCATAGATGTGGGGGACGGAGGTGGCTTCCTGGGCGTCAACCAGGATCTTCTGAGTGTTGGGGTTGGTACGCACACCAGCCTTCTCCAAATTCAGACCTCTGGTTTCTGGAACTCGGCCTGAAGGACACAAAGAGCAAGGCTGGGAGGTTTTCGTTAGTGGTTCTGACCAAGATTCCTTGTTTTATTTAAAACCCTTCTCAGAATGTCCACTTAGAATTGGTAAGACATCAAGCACCAACAGCGCCAAGGGCCTCAAACACGCGCTCACACATGTATGTACGTACACACACACGTGTGTATACAGGTGCACACACAAACACCTGCACAGAGACTCAATGAAAGGACGGAGCAGGAATGGGGAGGAAATGGGGTGGATGGAGAGTCAGCAACAAGACCCTCCTAAACACATCCTATGATACAATTTTGTTTCTTTAAATCGTATACACAGTTTATACGTATACATATTCAAAAAGTAAAATTAAATGTGGAAAAAAATCCCTATAACCTGTAAACAACCTAAAACAAAGGGGCCTATTGTAACAGAACATGTGGAAAGACAACTTGGGAGACCCTGCGAACCCACATTGGAACTGTACCTCCAAGGGTCACGTCCCCACAAGTGAAGATACTAACAGGTCCTACATGTCACTCAAAGAGGATGGTTCAAACTCCGTGACGTCAACTTTGAATTGGAAATTCATGATTTTTTAAAAGTACAAGGCTCCTGGCTCTGACCACAGAAACGGTGCAGAAGCAGCAGCAACCAAGGGCGATGTGCCCCCAGCCCCAGACTGTGAACCCTAAGCCCCTCCCCGCGGAAGGGGCCAGACTCCGAGAGGCCAGGTACCCCAGGCCACATGGTGGAGTGATGGACAGGAAGGATCAGCATGGCCGCAGGCTCAGCCCGACAGGACCTTGCAGCCTCTGAAGGCATCAGCCCAGGACCCAGGCCTCACAGACTCTGGGGCCCCATCCCCTGTGTGCATTTCCCGGCAGGGGTGTCTCAGGGTCCTCACATGGCCCCCCCAGGCTAGCCTCCGCCCCCACCAAGACACCCCTCTGGCAGCTTGTGCAAGGCAGGACAGTGCTCCACGTGGGTTTACCTCTCTCTGCCACCAGGCTGTGGCCTCGTGTCCCCACATCTGGCAGCGGCCATTCCCCCAGCACCCGTGGCGCGCGAGCTGACCCAAAGGAGGCAGACAGTGCGCACAACCTCACCCCCCCACTCCCCGGGCAGCCCCAACTCCGAGACCTCCAGGGCCTGCACTGCACACCCACCCATCCCTACAGGCAGTCAGCGCACGAACCCTGCTCTTGGGGGAGAGGCCAGGAGGGGAAGTGCCAGGCACTGCCGGCTCCGTGTGCTCACAGCCTGGGCCCCGTCACAGCTGAGCTGCCTCACCACCCTTTCTCTCCCAGTTCAGACGATGTGGCCTCGTCCAGCCAGGGAGGCAAGGGCCACTCTTCCTGCCCGACCCCAGGGGGGAAGCGGGTGGCCCCCATCACCGTGGCTGGGGGATCCCGATGGCAGGATGCATGGCTTCAAAGGCACAGTTCCCACAGCTTCCATGGCTCAGGCCCCAGAGGTCGGGTGGTGGCTGGTGGAGCCCGGGGAGGGGAGCCTTAAGCCTCCAGCTGCTCTCCTGGCGGGAAGTCAAAACACAGGCTCAGCTAAGCCTGCTTCTTGAGCGGATGGCTCCGGCCTCTGCATTCGGCTCGGCCCTAGGAATCGGGGGATGAGGGCTGGCGCCCTTCGCCGTCAGATTGGACACGGGTAGTGCAAGGCCAGGAGGGCCCCACCTTCTGAAGGCACCAGTACTGGCCCTATGGTCCTGATGGAGACCCATGAGTGCAGAGTGGGACCTGTCGCCTGCCCAGCATCCTGCCAAGGTGCCTGGGGACCCAATGGGCACCTGGGAGGGGAATGGACTGTGCTCCCAGAGAGGAGGGAGCTGGCCCCACAGGCAGGACTGGAGGGCATGGGCTTAGTGGGCGACAGTCCCTTATGCAGGGGCTCATAGCTCAGTCTTCAGGTTCCTCCCCAGGCCCCCGGGCACTGCGCCTCCCGGTGACACTCTGGGCTCGGGCTGGAGAGTCCGAGGGCAAAGCCGGCAGCACTTGGACCAGCTGCTCTGACGCCGGCCATGCTGTCCCGGGCTCTCCCTTGCACCCCTGCCTGGCTGGTCACAGGAGGTCAAGAGTGCTTCCTCCTGTGCCTGTGGTAACCATGGTAACTACACACCTTGCAGTTGCCAGCAAACCATATCCCAGATCCCAAAGGAAATAAAGATAAATTTGAAAGTAGTCACAGGAGACGGTAACATATGCTGGAGTTAGGTGGCCTCTGCAGTCCATTTTGAAGCCAGGATTTTTTAGGACGTTCTGCGTACGTGAACTTGGAAAGTATGTGGGATGTGTGAGCCAGGCCACTGGTAAAAAGAATAAATGGATGGTTGATGGGGGGTGGGCAGTACAGTGAAGAACAGGCCGTATGCAGCAGGCACTCCACTGACGCTTCCAGAGTGAAGAATGAAGAAAGGGAGGGGCTGGAGCAGGCGAAGCCCCAGGGGCAGCCGCGGGCACCTCAGGGCTTGGAAGCTGGGCCTTGCAGGTGAGGCCTGGGGTGGGCAAGCCCTCGACAGGGGTCACACAGGGAGGGACAGGCCCACGCCCTCTGCCGCGCTGCCCCCTCATGCTCAGAGCAGGGGGTCACGCCCTCCCTTTCAGCTCAGGCCCAGAGCCCCAGAGGAAGATGGAGAACGGGTGTGGGGTCCGGGGGGCTACCCAGTGGCTGGTCGCTCGGGCGCCAGCTCAGGCCCAGGCTGGGCTTACATGGCAACGGTCACGTCGTCCTCCGACTGCCTCCCTCGCACCTTGTGTGCAAGTAGTGCTCCTCCCACGATTGGTGGAAGCCCGTCCCGGTCACCCTGCATGTCACGGTCACACACTGCCCTGTCCGGCACGCGGGCTGCCTGCTCCTCGCCCTGCACGGGGTTGGTGGGCCCCCAGGATGAGGATGGCATCCTCAGGGGGGCTTTGGGGCGCAGGCAGGGATGCCCCCTCCTCAGTGGCAGTGGGCTCTGCTCATTTGCCGGGCGGTGGAGGGGGGGACTGTGAGGATTGAATTTGCGCTTCTTTGACTACTAGTAAAATTCGGTGTTTTTTTGGCCACATGTTAAATTAGCTGTATCTCCTCTTGAGAATGTCCGATACTGCCCTTTTCATTCATTTATACGCATCCTCGTGATTCTCTTCTCTTGTAAGAGTTTCTTCCTTAAAACCCGCGTGACTCGCTGCCGCGCTTACTACAAATGACGAGAGCACTAGAACTCCACATACGAGCAGACACTCGGCTTCCTCCTTGGAGGCGGTGTCCACACACCCTGCCCTTGGAGCTGCCCCTCGCCTGCTGGCCGGAGTCCCTCGGGGGGACTGTGTGAGCTCCGGTGCCTCGAAGCTGGGATGGCCCTCCCTCCCAGCGCCGACTGCCCAGGACACCCAGGGCAGCGTTGCGCCCGAGAGTGCTCGATGCGGCCGGGCCAGTCCAGCCTCCTCTGGTCACACTGGGAGAACCACCAGCTGGTCATGGCTACCTGCTCCTCAGCACATGGGGACGCAGACAACCAGATACACATCCTCTCATGTGCCCCTTGCCTCCCGTTACAGGAAGATGGGCATTCCCTCCAACTTCATGCCTCCTTGGAGCACATTTCCCGACGAGCAGGGGGATCGCGTAACGAGGGAAGATTTAAGTGCCGGCAGGAGTGTGAAAGGTGAGCACGGGCTGTGGTCAGACAGACCGCAGCGAGGGTGCACAGGCAGCCCAGGCAAAGTGCCGGGAGGCAGGGACCCACCCTGGGCGACCCTCCCAGGGGGCACAGCCAGGCCACTGTGGGGTCCCCACCTAAGAGAACAAAGCCACACAAGGGTCTCCCGCAGCCACAGCAAGACACGGTCCCAGGGAACAGGCCTGGTAGCCTTGGCCCGAAGCTGGCCGAACCAGGCTGCATCTGCGCTCAGACTACCAGCTCCTCCCCAACCTCCAAGAGGCGGCCCTGGACGGAGAAGGGGCCCCGGCTGCAGGCATCCTGGGCACCTCGGGCCCCCATCACTGTGTCCTCGGGCCCCAGGGCTTCAGTGTGGTCGTTGGGTGCCATTGGGAAGCTGGCCTCCAGTCCTGAGCCAGATCTCACGAGCCCCCTTTCCCCACGTTTGAGGCTCAAACGTGACACAGGTAAACGGCAATGGCTTTTGCTAAGACAAAGCCTGAAGAAAGGAGGCGGCTTCAGGCCCCCCCCGCCTTGTCTCGAGGCAGGCGCTCTGGGCCCCGTAACAGTGGCCACCTGGCTGGGCTCTTCCAACCTGGGCAGGGCTCCTGTGGCCCAGGGATGGACGTGCCAGAGCCTTCATCCTTTCCTGGAGGCTGGAGATGCTGAGGGGCCCGGGACCGTTTCAGCTCCTGGTTTTTCCGAGGCCATGGTGCTCCAGCCACTCTTTAAAATAAGAGGAAGCTACGTGGCAGCTGAGGGTTCT